CGCGAAACACTGTCCCAGATCGAATGAAAACTCGCTCCAAACTACACATTAGAGACTTAAACGTACGTACCCTATGTTAGGTCGGCCAGTAGACCTCCTTGGCTAAACTCTAGAATCTCGTACCATTGACGTATGCTGTGTCTCCGAAACACGCATACATGATCCTAGTGTGCCCATTCACTTGACCCACCTCTCCAAAACGAGGAGCCGACGAGATACACCCTCCGTGTATCTGGCAACACAATGGCTAGTTCTCGTGGACTGGCAGGTGTAGGTATAGCACTGAATACAAGGGCAGAACAAGCAATATTAGGATGGATCCCCGTTAACAGTCGCCTATTCGCTGTTCGGCTAAACGGCTCCGCAAGAATTCGGAAGGATAGGGACAAAAGTCGTCGCCTGGACGCAGAAAACCACATTAAGAAGACTATTTAGAGTCGTACTCAGTGACGACGAAGCCAAAAGTAGACTCCAGGAGCAACTGAGGGCACATTTAAGCAGTTCTGAAAACGACGGTGATCCAGATGTTACTTGGAATGATATACGAATAGTCGTGGAAAGAGTAGCGAAAAAACAATGGATTTCTACTAAATCTTTTGCAGTGATAGACTCTCGTAAACTTATCCCATCGTGCTCTAAACATGAAGAAGAGTGAGAATAAATCAGATCTACGTTAACCAAAAGTCTAAGGAACGACCGTGAGCAACGAAAGCAAAAGAGATGGGGAAGGCAGAGGCTGTAATTAACATCGGATAGCTTTTCAGACTAATAAAGGGAACTGGAATTAAGAAGTCAAGTGTCTACAACTTCACTTATCTTGGAAGTCTGATCAGCCATAACGGATTGGTGTTTGACGAAATCTCTGCACGGGCTCGGGAAGCTCGTTTGGCCAACTTACGTCACCTATAGAGAAGGCGAGATATCCGTCCATCAATTAAGGGACGAGTATACTGTGCGGCAGTTCGTTCTGTTCTACTTTACGGCTGCGAAACGTGGCCACTAAGAGCAGAATATACTCGTAGGCTACTAGTATTTGACCACAGATGCCTTAGAGATATTGTTGGCATCTGCTGAGATCATCGGGTAAGTAATAGTGAGGTTAGAAGTAGGGTATTAGGGAATGGTGGTAAATCAGTTGATGAGGCTGTCAATCTTCATCGACTGAGATGGTTGGGCCACGTGTTACGTATGCCCGAACACCGATTACCACGACGTGTAATGCTAACCGGTGTTGGAAATGGTTGGAAGAAAGTTAGGGGCGGCCAAACCAAAACGTGGCATCAGTGCTTGAAGTCACTAACTTCTAGTCTGAGACATGTTGGGAGATGCAGACTACTTGGTTGGGGTACGCGCGACTATCGTAACCAATTGTTGGACACTCTGGGTGACATGGCTCAGAATCGATCACAATGGCGTAGATGTATACACTCTCTGTCTTCCCTTAAACTATGAGATTAAAATCGCTCTATATCCTTCTTTCTACCAACTAATTCTTTCTTCCTGTAATATATCCTTATATGCAACCTTTCTTTTATATATTACTACCATTGAAGCAACTACTATGAATTTGGTGTTTATCTTATTGTGCTAATGAGGCATGGTAACTTGGACCGATGCACATATATGCCTGGTCCTACGTTGAAGCTACTGACTGATAAGATCTAGTCGAAATTAAGGATGAATAGATCTGAACCACTGAGACGGATTTTGAGCCATGACACACAGCGTCCTGGACCACTGTTTATGATTATTGTGTAGATTTCAATCGTTTTAAATTTTTAAACAACAAAAGTTTGCTTTTGATGTCAGTCATTATCCATGTTAGGAGAAAAGTACTGACATTCTAAGTGAATTCAAACATATTTCATCAGTACTAGCGTGAAGTCCAGGGTTTATTAGCTGTTTTACAACACAGTTGGTGTAACTGGTATCGAAAAATTGCTGAAATATAATTACGTGACTTATGTATACTTTCGATGTAATTGTATGTTTGTGTACATTTACTCAACAATCAATTATATGTCGGTTGAATGTTACAGTAAAGGGTACTAAAATTTAATAACGAATTGCTGATTCATCAGTGTCTGTCAGTTTATTTATTCATTGGGTAACAACATAATTCGTAATTGTTTTCTACTATGTTCACAACAGTAAATGTAACTTGTAAGTTATCAGTAAAGGTTAACTTTCTACAGTAAATTATGTTGGTGTCAGATAAAACAACAGGTTAGCCAATCAGAAAAATTTAAGTCAGAGCTTACTACTCGTTATGAAATACATATTTTCAGTTATTTAACAAGTTAATAGGTATTTGGTTTTCAGAATTAAATGTTGAGGCATCAATACAAATGGATTTGATATAGGGGGCGATGCAAGTTAAATGATAGTCGAAATCAAGTATTCTTCCCAAAGTCCTAAATTACAAATTTGTCCTATTTATCTCTGTCACAACATAATATACAATTTCAGACTAACAGCTACCACTTTACCGTATCATGAACTCGTGATAGCCTTTAAGTCAGAAGAAGAAAATGCAGAATGGATATGTGTGCATGTGCACAAAATTTTGAATTCAATATTTATCCAAGTGTTTATTTCTGACTCCTTTTGCTAATGCTTGTACTTTTGGAATGACGTCTTTGTCTGGCTGTTTGTCCATCTATTTGTCTGTCCGACTATTACTAAATAGACAGTCAATCTATCTAGTGATTAAACTTTATTCACACTGTTTAACTACAATAAAGAAGTGGGGAATGAAGTCCAACAATATATTATAAGTGCCCAAGTTATTTATTAAAACTAAAGTAATTAACAATCACACCAAAAGAGTCTACGTACTGTGTAAATGTTTGTGTCCAATCAATTTACTGGTGAGACAAATTCTATGCTGAAATAACTCAGTCTTAGTGATGAGTTTAAATAGTAATGATTAATACTGCAATTTCCAGGGTAAACCCTTTTAATGAGTTATCTTCCTTGATCAAAATTGAGTTTCCAACTATACTTATCGATTTGAATATACGATCAAGTCAGTACGTTAAGGTAGCAAAGCTTTGGGTATTGTTGTAACGTGTGAGACTGCAGGTTTTGGTAAGCAGTGTTTTATCGACCGATCACAGTAACACGGAAAACACGTATGGACGACCTAGAGCCCTGATTGGTCCCGCTTCGCAGTCTGTCCCAGCCAGTTGAGTCAGGAACACAAGTCACAGCCTCTGAGTTATGAATCATTGTATTTCAGACATACTCTATTTATATAGTAACCACACAAACCACATAGTACCATAAAATAGAAAACAACATTTACACGATATGTAACGAATGAATTAAGTAATAGCCAATAGGGGATGTACATTTAAAGTCCAAGGCCACCATAGACTTAACATGACAATGATTGGCATATTATTCTGCATCCATAACAGGTATGGACCAGTATTACCAAGAATGTACCAGAGTGACCGTACAATAGGGAAAGTTTCGTTGTTTAGTCTAAACAGGAGACATGATTGACATAATACTCTTGCAAGATTGGGATTGGTGACTGATTACCTTAATCCTTTGGTGGGATGTTCCTTTATGTCGTTGTAGGAGCAACGCTTTTTAGGTTCGTTTGATTGAAGATTACTATCATAATTAACGATCTCGGCAAAAACAGTGAGCTGCTTTCGATTCTAATAATTATTCAGAAATGAGGCTTTGGTGTTTATATATTTTGGATTATTAATTTGAAATTCCCACTTGTTCTGGGAAATATCATGAAGGTTTTTTAATGTTTACGTTGACAAAAGACTAATAATTTAGCAGTAACATATGTGATATTGGACAAGGCTCATAAGTGCAGAATTTAGATAATCATGTAAATTTGCAAGATTGATTAACAGTATGTAAACAATTTATATTTCATAAACCTAATTTCCCAGAAGGATATCTGAAAGACTGTAAGTTATTTAGCGAATTTTTTGTGGTACAGAAACATATTTTCGATACGTAGGACTTATGCACTATAAATATTTTACGAGGATTAACAAGTAAACAGATTTTTAAGTGGAACTGAACCTAATCATTTGAACTTTATATTCAAGACACTTTTAAATAAGGTGGATGGGTTTAACCTAGATATTTAATTAAATTATACTCTTTGTATGGTTCAACACTGCCTGAAACCATTCTGAGTTTACTGTCAGTCTCAAGGTTAGGGCAAGAGGAGGGTTGAGTGTAGCGATAGATACCACACCTCGTAAAAAGAACGTTACTAAAATACCATAATCAGTGTCTAAACTTCTGGGTGTGTATTTACGTATGTATCAGATGATATGTTCTGCAAAGTAATGACATTTATTATTATCTCTATGAATGTGAAGATAAGTTTCATTAATTAATCAAGATGGAACCCTGATCTCTATAGACTAGAATCTAATACATGCCCCTACTTTGCTTATATCTCATGGAAATAATTTATTCCTTTGCTTAACGTCAGCCCATTGTCTTATTTATAGTACACATATTAGAAAAATGTTCAATGTGCACTTTACTGAACTGATGTATCGTTTTTAGTGTTTTTGGTATGTGGCAGAGAGATATGAGATTCGGGTTTTGTCCTAGATGGACTAGGAAACATTAGTAGCTACCCGTGCTCAATAGATAACATGTCGGGGAGTTTGAAACGAAAGGCATTGGGTTCGACTTTCAATATGAACATCAACACTGGGATGTATGTATTTTTAACCGATGGTTCCGAAAGTAGGGCAAGACTCGCTCCCTGAATTTCACTGCTATCCAAATGTAGAGCATACAAAATGTTTTATGAAGATGCTGCTCTCAGGACGCACGCATGGCAACAGAGACTGACAACGTTCAGTCGTGAATATCAAAAATAGTAAGCTACAAATCCATATGTCATTGTTAGTTTGTATTTGTCATTTATCCAACCACACAATAAAGCAAACATCTATTAGTATCGAGCCCATTACTTCCGTATACATATTTCAAAACAGTAAAAATGAAACATATTCATATATTTTAGGAAACTCTAGTTTAAAAAACAGCCCAGTGGAAAACTATTCATTCGAAAAGTATTTACAAATATTGACGGAGAAAGTTCGACTGAATGAAAATAATTTTGGTAAGTAGAAATCGAAGGGGAAATCCAATAATATGCTTTGACTTCACAAACAAAAAAAAACAGTTGATATTTAAGAGACAAAGAATCGATTATTTACGAAGCCTTTCAAGAAGATTATTGAACAACTCTTGGAATGAGACAATTACTGTGTCAGAGGATTGAAGTCCTCCATCTGGGTCTATGTAATTATAAAATGAAGTGAAAAAAATAGCGTTATAAGAAAAAACAACAACTGAACTTTATTGGTAGAAAATAAAAGTTAAGTCTGCCTTCTTACTGTTGAGTATTTAAAAATAAATTTTACACATATTGATCACTAGCTATTGTTTTGTATTTGAAAGTCTTTATCTAAAAACTATTCAGTTTCTGGGGGCTTATGACCAAAATAATGGATTCACAACACGACAGAAATTTAGTTTAATAATGAGCATTATCTCAGGTGAATTGGTCAATATGGACAAATACTAGACTCAATTTTTCATACAATGAAAGTTTCAGTATCAGTGAATCTTTTAGATGCCACATACCGAGAGTGGAAATTAATGAAAAAACATGTAAATAACATTTATGCAACTCGCAACATCGACTTGTAATAACTTCTTTTAAGGAACAAATCTAACAACAAAGTATGGTAGAATTTGGCCTAAACATACAAGCTCTTTCCTGCTTAGTATCGTTAAAAAGTGTTTCGCTACTTCAAACTGACATTTTAATCGACTAGAATTCATATCCAGGTAAAATTACAATTAAGAAACTCATTCAGCTCTGAGACTTCTTGTTTGTACAATAACACGCGATCACAGCTATGTATAACTGGGGTATAAATATCTTGGATTATAATAACTACCTATTGATTATAACCCAGTGAATAAAATTTATGTGAAGTACGTATTCACCACACTAAATAAGCGAAATCAAAAACATATATATATATATATATATATATATATATATATATATATATATATATATATATATATATATATATGACAGAATAAAACTCCATTTACAGGATAAGGAAGTGGATGAGGGGAGTGTGAAGGACGAACCAGTACAAAAACAGATTTCGCTGACAACCAACTATATGAACTTGAAGTTGATTGATTTTCATATTTCGTCTAATATAAGCATTTACACGTGAACAACGTTTTTCCTCATTAGGCATACTTTTGTTTATTTCACAAACACACTTACATTTGAAAGGAATGAAGGATATTAATTAGGTTACTGAATGTTGATGGATCTTACTGAATTGTACTGTAAGGAATTAAACCGTCTAGTAGCATCCTATACGAAAATGAAACTGTGGAGTTTTTTATCTTTTGAATATCATGATGTTCTAAACCACAGATTTTGTGCAATTGATTTACGAGATGTAGAATAATGTTATAAGAGGTTTTACGATAAGTTTATGAATCTGCCAAACTTGTTTCAACAAGAAGTTTTAGTCGAAATTTCACAGATACAACTGGATATGAACAGATAACAGTAATGAGAAGAACAACTAACTTTTTGAATGTTGGCTGATGAGGGAATTCGACTCAGCTAATTCGAATGGGCACAAACCTTCGTCAAGAGCTCTGGTTAATCTAGGATCAAGTGGTAACCGACCAATTATTTCAAGATCTAGAAATGATGGATCATCAGCATTTTCATTGTGTTTCATGGTAGACAGTGAGCCGGCACCACCTGTGAGTGATGGAAATAATGGACATATGTGTTTGCAAGTTGGACATACAAATTCAACCATATTCTCCACGACCCCTAAGACTGGGATAGATAGTTTCCGACAAAAATCTATTTCCTGAGAAGATAAACAATATAGACGAAATCTAATTAGTAAACTTTGTAAAAAAAACCCAAGTAGGTAAAGGGCCCAAGGTGATTTTATATGTCTGTATAAGACAAACTGTGTTAAGTCGACACATTAACCTTAGATAAATATAAAAAACGACTATTATACATTCATGTAATTTATCATCGCTGAAGTCTGGAATACTGTATTTCTGCTCCTTTTAACTTTATCTGAACTCATTCTTGACTCATTTATAATGACAAATGAACAGCATTTTAAGCCACTATCAATTTAAACTTGATCACTATTTTATTTACTCATTTAAATCATACAAATTCTGGTAAAATAGGGTACTGAAAGATGCTCAAGGCAAATGAGCCAGTAATAACAAAGCAAAGGCCGGAAAAATCAATTACAAAAACAGCACTTAATTAGAGACACCCAAGAAAACCTTCTTCCAGGTAAGCAATATTTTCATACTATTTCAACGTGTGATTAAAAACTACATCAGGATCTCACCCAGGGATTCGTGACAGACCGACAGATGACAGTCCTACTGTTGTAACGTGTGAGACTGCAGGTTTTGGTAAGCAGTGTTTTATCGATAGATCACAGTGACACGTAAAGCACGTACGAACAACCTGGTGCCCTGATTGGTCCCACTTTCCTGTCTAGCCCAGCCAGTTGAGCCAAGGACGCAAATCACAGCCTCTGAGTTATGAATCATTGTATTTCAGACATACACTACTTATATAGTAACCAAACAGACCACATCGTACCATAAAATAGAAAACAACATTTACACAATATTTAGCAAGTGAAATAAACATCGACCAATGGGAAATGTCTGTTTAACGTCCAAGGACACCATTCGACTTAACACGATAATTATTGGTACATTCCTCTGCATACCTAACACCTACACACCTTTATTTTATATCACACCATTAATTCACAAGCTAACTCGCTGCCTTTTTACACAGTTCTAGAGTTGGCCAATAAAGTGAGATATGGAAGTTACTAGGATGACACTTGTAAGACATAATTAAGCCACGGAATTCAGTGTCTCAAAGTATCTTTACCACACACAAACACACTTTGCCAAACACCAATATAGCTAAGATGGTGTTGTTACCGCATGTGAGTAATCTTTCAGAGATCAAAGTGATCGAACACAGAGACGCTGAAGGTTTTCAGCTAAATGGGTTTATGTTTTACAACCATAGAGCAAAGCTGCGCTCACTGGCATGTTTTTTTACCTGATGTCTTACAGTCAGATCGACGTAACGATGACGCTAAAAAGAGACTAGATTGGCATAAGCCTCTATGTATTTTGCTAGGGGTAGATTGATTTCATCCCCATGCCACCAATACTTACACGAATGACCAGATATACGAACTTTTCGACTATATCTAACGTTCATCACAAAGAGTGAGGGCAGGAACAAGCTTCTCGTAGTTTTGGAGAAGCACATTCCTATTATCTGAAGTCACTTTACTTATATATGAACCACTTTTTGAAAACCAACTAAATACTGCTTCTATGATAAACATACAAATAGTAACTTCATTTCATGGGCTATTTATATTTCACTATTCTTTATTGTAGAGATATAAGTTTAGAGAATTTTTCAATTTTTACTGTTTGCAGTACACCTGAATAGACCGTAATAAATTATTTGTTTGATTTAGTAAAAATCAAGTGCGATGCAGTGGTTTTAATTGAGACCAGATCAGACTTACCAATTTGTTGATTTCTTGTTATACCTGAATGACACTACTCTTATGATACTCTTTATTTATCATCAGATATAATATATTACAGCATACAATGGTAGACATTGTCTGGTTCTTATGTATATGATTAATATTGTATTCGATTACTATATTATTTGGTTTACTTTTTATGTCTCTTAGTCAAAAGCATACAAATATACATTTTGTCGGTTTAATGCATATTGCGCTGTTGCAGCAGTTTTTCAATTTTACCTTCCTCTCGTAGTTCCCCCACAATTTTATCGCTTATGAATTAGAGAGAAATATTGAATACGATCAAGATTTGATTCTATTTGAAGAGGAAGAAAATATTTCCAGTTATAATACGTTAACTTGAAACAGATTACACGGAAATCACTCCGTTGTTATTGAATTTTGTAGTAAAGAAATGAGTTTGAGTTCAATAGCTCTGAAAAGTCCATCTAGTTTTGAACTAGTGATTATGTGGATTTAAGTCGTTTAAATAATATTTTCTTGTAGAATCGAAATAATTAAGCAGCAAATAAATTTTAGAGAACTGCGGATAGCTATTTCATCCTTATTTGAAATCTTTGGGAAAATCATTAAAGCATTTGTAATGCACCTTTGTTGAAATCAGTCTCAACAGATTTAGTAAACAATACAGTTTCTTAATGGAGTTTGCTCCTTTAAACGTGGGTACTGATTGGCGACTTTTGTATAAAACGGAATAACTTGGTTTATGAGCAGCCTAAAATATTATCAGACGGACCATTTTCTAGAATCGTGAACCGTGAAATGGAATGGAAGTATATTTCTGGCTATTTTATTGCATTATGAGAGAAACAACGAATGCCTTCGTCTAGTTTTGAAGAAATTTGTAGCACAAACCTCTAGAAGTAACGCCAGTTGCGGTTTTTTTAACAACCATAATGTAGCCACCATACTAACACATCGAATTCTTATGGAACATCAAACAAAGAAATGAATGACTCCCGCTTATTTTATTTGTACACTTAACGAATTCGTAAACATACATTTTAAAAGGTCACTTTGTAATGAAATGGGAATGGTATAGGATTTATGTGTCGACACTGCAAATAAAATAAGTAATAGAGTAGATACTTACATAAAAATACATGTGGATAGTTTCATAATTAACTGCCCATATCGTTGCAACTGTAATCAATAGAATAACTTGTTCTAAACAATATAAACCAACAATTTACATTAATCACTACAAGAATTAATATAACCTGTTTTATTAAGAATTTTTTGCAGGTTGAAATTACTATGACTCTCCACAAAACCCATTCTGATAAGAATTTTTTGGTTAGATGGAGTAGAAAACAGTGAGCCAAATATGCAATAAAATTAATTTACAGAGTAAGGATGGTTAGTCAGTTAGTAGTGTGATAATTCCGTTAAATAAACTTGGTGATTTTATTTACATAGGGTTGTGACGGTAGAAAGATGTACTAATTTGCAGTAGGGATTGATTTATTGTTAGTATTGTAAATTTGGTGTTCGATAATATATTTGGCTGATCGAGAGCAGCTTTTTAAATGTTACCACCTCGGACAGCAACATATCGAAGTGTTAAAAATTTTCGCCTATAACAACTTAATAGTAGAAGAAGAGGCCTGGGACAAATTTGCGCTGGATTCTTGAGATAAGATAAAGCAACAAGGTGAATAGCAGGGTTATGATAACCACATGGACCCCAACCAGATAGTCTTCATCTAATTGCATAGCTCAGTCCGATAGTCAGAGTTTTCAAGGACTGATGACGTGGCTTGATCTGACTGCCCCTAGATTCTTATCAGTTTAACCCTACACGAGCTATCATTGAGCGTCGAGGTAGGTGGTGGATGGGCATAGATAATACATGCTTCAACAACATCAACCGATGGACATTGGCCATCTCATTAATCGACTTGCCATCCTTACTCTGTGTTTGCCTTATGTCTAACTTCCCCACTACACACTCAGTGGTTTTCCAACATAAAAGAACAATGCTGCAAGGAAACCTATGACCGAGTACTGGCAACCTACGAATATCCTCTATTCATGATGGCTATGTTCCATACCCACAAAGTAGGATGGATAGAACTGCTGCATAGTAAACTCGTCCTTTGGTATGTAAACGGATATCTCACTTACTCTACGAGTGACACAAGTTAGCAAAAGCCAACCGGGCTCTCTGAATCCGTGTCAAAATCTCGTCAGACACCAACCCACTAGGGCTCAGGCATCGGATTAGCCTTGAAACTGATATTTCAACACTGTTAGTCGAACTGATTTCTCTGTGGTTATCACAAGAGTAGTTTTATCCTTTTTTATAAACCGCAACGATCGGCCATCGACACCAGTGAAATGGGATTACATCCAGTCCCCGAAAGTCAGCTAAGATTTTAATCAATCTAACTGCTAAAACTTGACAACTACACTCAAAGATTTTTGAGGCTGATTTGTCTGAACCTGCTGCATCCCCTCGTTTTACATTCCTCATAACCTTTTGAAATAACATTCGGTTTCCTCCCTTACGCCAATGGAAAACTAACTTCCCTTAGACGAATATCTACACTAGATACCCTGCCACAGTCTATTCTACAGGACTTCAACAAAACTCGAATGAAGAACACGTGACTGGTCTAACTAGAACATGGGTTTATTTCTACGTCAACAACCGACAATAATAGTAATAACAAGGGTAAGAAAATATAAAACATTCGTAATACCTGTCAGACTAAATAGACAATCAATCACTATTTTCCTGGCCCACACACCTTTTCAACTAAGAGTTGGAGAGCTTATGTAAAGTCAGCACTCAGGTCGCTTAAAGATGATGAGTGACAAATGTGGCTGAGGGCCTGTTGAACTAATCCCTAAAGCGTTTGTCTAACAGACAATTTTCCTTGTGCCGAATATTTAGAACAAATAAGTCATCAGGATAACCAATATTCCTTAAAGTGTTCTATCCATCAGAATTATTATATCACATTCCCTTGTACTAATTCATATTGACATGTTTGATTCGGTAAGTGTTTCTTTATTCATCATCAATATATCTTCCGTTATATGATGGATGATGCTAGCAGTTGCCTCCACTAAAGGGCTTCCGAGATAGGGTAAAATCAGAAACATGTTCTAGTAACTTAAAATATACAGGCATGCGAATGTCGGTTACATAAAAATGAGTGAAACCAGTGACAAAAGGTTATCTTAGAGCACATGTAAGAAAAGGATCAATCTAATTAGCTAGGGTAACGAAA